ATCCATCTGATAGTTGTTGGGCTAGACATTCATACACTCACTCCACTCGAAACCTTTGGGCTTACGTGTTGGGTCCACGGGTTGAAGGAATAAACCTCAACACTGGCGCCGTCTGTGGGAAACTGAGCAAAAAGTTTCCAGAAACTCTCCTAAACAGCTGCTAAGTCTACCTACAGCAAATACGATGTCAGGAAGCAACAACCAGCGTGATCTCTCCGAGCGTCTGGAGTCGAGCCGCCAGAACCGCGGCCAGAACTCGGGACTATCCGCTACTATATGGACCTCCGGAGGAAACGGGGGCATCACTGACCTCATTCCCCTGGAGGCCAGGCAGGATCCCCACCTCATGCGGGAACTCGCAGATACCATGCGTCGCTTGGCAGATGAACGGGAGGCCCGAGATCGGGTGTACTCTGCAAGCACCCAGCGAACACCCCTCTCTCCCATACGCCGCATGCAGTCGTACGATGATACGACAGGCTCCAGCGACCACCGGCCCTCCGTCCACGAGCGGCTAGGTGGGGGTTCAGGCTCCCGTGAAACGGGAGGGCGGACCAGGGTTAGCATCGCTGCATCCAGGGCTCTCACACCATCAGTTCCTCGCCTGATTCCGCGGGGAGACGAGACCCCAAGGGTCAACACCGTTGGACGACGTTTCCAACGGCGAGGTGCGCAGATCTTCAGGCGGCCGCACGATGTTGTGGCCGCTCAGCAGAACGCCACCCCCGAAGCCGCGCCCCCTATGTCCCCCGGAAGGGCCGCACAGGACGCACGGCTGGAAGCCATGGAGAGGCAGATAGCCGAGATGAACAGGCGGGCGGACGCCGGCTCGGCCACACCCTCCTTCTCTCTCACATCACCTTTTACTCCACGGGTGATGAGCGTCGAGATTCCCCGGGATTGCAGGCCCCCGGGGAACTTGGTGTATAATGGGGCTGGTGATCCTAAGGCCCATCTGATAAGCTACCAAGGGAACCTGTCCATGCTGGGAGCATCGGACGAGGCCATCTGCAGGTTGTTCTTCAGCACCCTCAGGGGGCCAGCTCAGGAATGGTTCGGCCAGTTGAGGCCAGGCACCATTGATTCATACGAACAGCTTTCCCGGCAGTTCATGGCACAGTTTGCTGCCAGCACCACCCCCAGGAAGGATGTCACGGCACTCGCCCACATCAAGCAAGGGCGGGACGAACCGCTGGCTAAGTTCCTGGTGAGGTGGAGGGACGAGGTACTGCAGGTCGACGATCTGGACGAACGTCTGGCCACCAACATGTTCACCAGTGCGCTGGCCACAGGGGATCTGTACCGGGACCTGAGGAGGAATCCCGGCACCAGCTACACCGAGGTTTTGGCTCGGGCACAAAAATATGCCTCCATTGAGGAGGAGATCAGGCAGCGGGACGGAGTTCCCGCAACCCAGCCTAGGAAGATGGCGGACAGGCTCGGACCCAAACCGGGACCCGGGCCCTCACCCCCAAACAAAAAGAAGAGGTTGGACGGGGCGATGATCCCATGGAAGGCTCCCCCCGGAGACAACCAGACGCGGCCGGACGACCGCTATATACCATTGGCATATCCAGTGAGCCAGATCTTCGAGGCCATCAAGGACAAGGGCCTCCTGACGGAACCTCAAGATATGAAGAAGTATATGGGGCTTGACCAATCGGCCTACTGTGAGTACCATCAGAGGATCGGCCACCTGACGGACAACTGCAGCCAGTTAAAGAAAGCGATCGACGAGCTGATCCGTCAGGGGTACTTGGGCGAATTCACCCAGCTGCTGAACAAAAACAGTCAGCAGAAGCCGACCCCAAGGCACAAGACATGGCGCCGCGACGACCGGCGCGAGGCAGAACCTCAGGACGTGGATTATCGGAGTGCAGATAAACGTCCGGAGGGATCCCTCGGCCCAAAGGGCAAGAAGAAGAAGTTGGAGATCAAGGTGATCTTCGGGGGCGCTGAGACAGGAGATACACCCGCCGAACGGAAAAAATTTGAGAGATCACTGTATGTGGGTTCCGTATCAGCACCCCCCACCAAGCGCAATAAGATCGAGGCAATTACCTTCGGCCCCGCTGATCTGCCAATGTCACCAGCACCGCACAGGGACGAGCTGGTGATCAGCATGGACGTGAACGATGCCATCGTCCGGCGCGTCCTTGTTGACACCGGGAGCAGTGTGAACGTCCTCTACTGGGAGGCTTTCGAAGGGATGAAGCTCAGGAAGGACATGCTGCATCCCCTACGCACCCCGCTGTCCGGCTTCACCGGGGATTGCATCGACGCCGAGGGCACCATCGCCTTGCCAGTAGAAATCGGCGACGGTCCTCATACGGCCCGAATCAGCATGACGTTCGTCGTGGTCCGCCTAAAATGCGCCCACAACGCCATTTTGGGCCGACCCGGCTTGGAAGACTTGGAGGCCATATGCTCCGTACGGCACTCATGCATCAAATTCCCCACCGACACTGGAGTGGGAGTGGCACGTACGGACCCGCATATGGCCAGGGCCTGCTACACGAAGGCGATGGAGAAGCTCAACGAGCGGGAGGCTCGGGTCAACAGCATCTCTGAGAGGGCCAAACAGGCCGACTTGGATGCTCATCTGGAACCAGCAACTCTGCTGGAGGAAATCGAGCTCGACGACCCGACGGACAGGAAGGTGTCCATCGGTGCAGATCTAGAGCCGGAGATCAGGGCGGGGGTCATAGCTGTCCTGCGGAGATTCCGAGTCTTGTTCGCCAGAGGACCGGAGGACATGCCGGGCATCGACCCCAACCTCATATGCCACAGACTCGCCGTGCGGCCGGACGCCAAGCCTGTACAGCAAAAGAAAAGATACATGGCGGCCGACCGACGCGATTTCATCAGGAAGGAGACGGCAACTCTCCTCAGCATTAAACACATCCGGCCGGTCATCCACGTGGAGTGGCTGGCCAACGTGGTACTAGCCCCGAAGGGCGACACTTGGCGGATGTGCGTCGATTATTCGGACCTAAACAAAGCTTGTCCGATGGATCCTTACCCCGTTCCGAGGATCGACTTGCTGGTGGATGAAACGGCAGGCTGTGAGCTGCTCAGTTTCATGGACGCATTCAGGGGCTACCATCAGGTGTTCATGCACCCCGATGATGCCGAGAAAACGGCGTTCGTCACGGCGGACGGCGTGTATTGCTACATCGTCATGCCGTTCGGCCTGAGGAACGCCATGGCTACTTTTCAAAGGATGATTGGGATGTTGTTCAAAGACGTACTTGGGAAGACAATGGAAGCTTACGTGGATGACATCCTGATCAAGAGCAAGAGAAAGGAGGACCATGTCCAGGACATGGAGAGGGTCTTCGGCATCATGGAGAGGGCCAGCATGAGGCTCAATCCGAAGAAATGTGCCTTCGCCGTCCGGGGGTGGCAAGTTCCTCGGCTACATGATGAGCGAGCGGGGGATCGAGCCTAACCCGGAGAAAGTGAAGGCAATTATGGACATGGAGGCCCCGAAGAGCCTAAAGGATGTGCAGCGACTCACCGGGCGTCTGGCGGCCCTGAGCAGGTTCTTGTCCAAACTGGCCGATAAGGCGATTCCCTTTTTCCAGATCATGAAGAAGGCCAATCCCTTTGAATGGACCCCGGAGTGTCAGGCTGCCTTCGAAGATTTCAAAGTGTATCTCTCCTCCCCGCTCATCCTCACCAAAGCGGATCCCGGGGAGAGATTGTACATGTATCTGGCAGTGGCCGACCTGGCTGTAAGTGCCGTGCTATTGAAGGAATCTGAAGGCGTTCAGCGGCCGATATACTTTGTGAGTAAGGCGCTGAACGGCCCCGAAACGAGATACACACTGATGGAAAAGACGATCCTTGCCTTGATTGCATCCATCAAGCGCCTGGCGCCGTATTTCCAAGCACACCCGGTGACCGTCTACACAACGCAACCCCTCGCCACCATCCTCAGGAATCCAATGGCGAGCGGGAGGATAACCAAGTGGTCCCTGATGATCGGCCAGTATGACGTAGACTTCAAACCAAGGCCGACGATCAAGGGACAGGCACTGGCGGACTTCATTGCAGAATGCACCGCGCGCACCAAGGACGAAACCCATGACAGCAACAACTTCGATAATTGGTGGGAGATGTACACCGATGGGGCCTCGAGTGCGCGGGGCTGTGGCGGGGGAGCGGTGATCACTTCCCCCGAAGGTTTCAAGGCCTACTACTCTATGAAATTCGAGTTCAGGCTCACCAACAACGAAGCTGAATACGAGGCGCTTATCGCAGGACTGAAATGCGCGAAAGCCCTCGGAGCGGCTCGTCTGAAGGTGAGAATGGACAGCCAGCTGGTGGTAACCCAGATGAACGGCACGGCAGAAACCAGGGAAGAGAGAATGAAAGTCTACAAAGAGCTGGCGGAAGAACAGACCGCACAATTTGAGCAGGTGGTGCTTGAGCAGGTATCGCGGGTGGAGAATGCAGAGGCGGACATACTGTCGAAACTGAGCAACCCCCCAACCGATGATCCGGCATCAAGCATCCCCCGGCACATCAGAGGCTTCGTTAGGCAGGAGGTGTTCCTAACACCGGCGACGGACGTCATCCAGGTGGAGGTTATCTCCGTTGCTGAACCTAACTGGGCAAAGGAGATAGCAGATTATCTCAGAGATGGAACACTCCCCGAGCCCGAAGGTGATGGTAGTACAGGAAGAGCCGCATGGATAAAGAGGCGTGCCCCTAACTTTGAACTTATAGACGGACAGCTCTACAAGAAGACGTTCGGCGGACCCTACCTCAGATGCCTCCCGCCGAGCCTGGCAGCGGCGATAATCGAGGAAATACATGAAGGGATCTGCTCCAGCCACCAGGGCCCCCGGACCTTGGCCAGGAAAATCATCCTGCAAGGTTATTATTGGCCGACCATACAGCAAGATTGCTTCAATCACACCCGAAAATGTGCAGTATGCCAGCAGTATGCACCTGTCCCTGGCCGCCCAGCGAGTTTCTATACCCCGATGACCATCGCACTACCTTTTGCTAGGTGGGGCATAGACCTGCTGGGTCCTCTGCCCACGGCTGCTGGAGGAAGGAAGTTCGTCATCGTGGCAGTTGATTATTTCACGAAGTGGGTCGAGGCCGAACCATTGGCCTCCATTACTGAGTTCCAATGCCAGAAGTTTGTCTGGCAGAGCATCATCTGCCGTTTCGGGATCCCAGAGCAGATCATCACTGACAACGGCCGGCAGTTCGTCGGCAGAGGCTTCGAGGCATATTTGGCAAAGTGGGGCATCAGGCACTCTAAGGCCTCGGTGGCGTACCCGCAAGCCAACGGCCAAGTGGAGAACATGAACCGGACCATCATGGACGGAATCAAAAAGAAGTTAGAAGACTACGCCTCTACCTGGCCGGAACAGCTGAATTATGTCTTGTGGACATATAGGACAACGCCCAGAACGGCGACTGGGGAGACCCCTTTCGCCTTAGCTTACGGGTTCCAAGCTAAGGTACCGACGGAAGTATTGGTACCTACACACCGCACCAAGCACTTCCAGCCGGAGGACAACGAGACCAACCTACGAGCGGAGCTCCATTTCATTGAGGAACGGAGGGACCTAGCGGCTCGTCGCATGGAAGAATATCACCGGGCCACCCAGAGATACTTCAACAAAGCCGTGAAATTCCGCGAAATAGAGGCCGGGGACCTCGTACTCAGGAAAAGAGAGAAGAGCAAGCCGCTCGAGGGCGGCAAGATGGCGAGGAACTGGGAAGGGCCTTACCGGGTCATCAGAAGATATAACCAGGGGACGTTCCTCCTCCACACCCTGGAGGGGGACCATGCCGGGATGTGGAACGTAGAACACCTGAAGAAGTTCTATCAATAGTTAGAGGCTGATGTCCTTGTTGTATTTCCACTCCCATGTAAAATGACCGGACGTCGTCAATGATAAAGGCCCCCTGTTTTTTACATCACTTCTGTTTTCTTGCCAACGACGGCTAAAGAAGGGAATCTCGATGCAGATACACCTGTTCCTCCTTGTGATGTCTGCGGATACCGAACGTCTCCTCGAAGTAGGGACGCCGGTAGGACCAAGGACCAAGGACGAACGAAGCACAGGGAATCTCGATGCAGATACACCTGTTCCTCCTTGTGATGTCTGCGGATGCCGAACGTCCCCTCAAGTAGGGACGCCGGTAGGACCAAGGACCAAGGACGAACGAAGATTACCTCCCTTAAAAAAAAAAAAAAAAAAAAAAAAAAAAAAAAAAAAAGAGATGGGGAGAAGAGGAGAGAAGCTCCTACACGGAAGGGAATCTTGCCCGGGTGTGCCAGATCTTCCCCCACCGCCGAAGGCGAACACCTCTCGATGTAGAGATTAGTAGAGACGTGGAGGGGGCTAGACGAACCAAGGGAGCCTGCCAAGATAAACCTGCTTATCCCACAAATGACCATGGATCGATGGACGTGGGATAACGAAGACGGGAACCCGTGAGGGTAAACCTGTTCGTCCCTGCGAGTTCCTTAGGTACCGAACGTCCTCTTCGAAGCAAGAGACGCCGGTAAGGCTAAAAGGACCACGGACGAACGAAAAAAGGGGGGAATCTCGATGTAGATAAACCTGTTCTTCCTTGCGATGTCTGCGGATACCGAACGTCTCCTCGAGGTAGGGACGCCGGTAGGACCAAGGACCAGGGACGAACGAAGACTAAAAGACTCCAAAAAAAAAAAAAAAAAAAAGAAAAAAAAAAAAAAAAATGCCAGACGAGCATGGAGCAAAGAATGATTTTTATTCCTCGGCACTATTGGCCGGAAAATTACAATGTACGAGGGTACAATACAAAAAAATGAAAAATTGTACAAGTACAAGATAATGAACGGAGAATCACAGCCGATCGGCGTCCGGAGCTGGAACTTGGGAAGGGGCCTGCTTGGACTTGTCACTTTTAGCGGCTTCCTCTTGCTCCTTCAGCAGCTCAAGGGCCCCTGCATGAGCATCTGCCATCGAGACGTCAAAACCAGCCGCCTCCGGATCGAAGGGAGCCCCAAAGTGACGCTCGAACGTCGGGAGATTCTCCGCTACTAGCCCAACCATACCTTTGCGGTAGGTGTCATCGGCGAGATCGTCAAGGAAACGACGTCCGGTGGGGGTGGCCTGGAGCAATTTAACCCCATCCTGGTAGGCATCCGGGCAGGTGGCCAGGAACTCGCCAACGAGCCGCGGGAGGAACTTCATAGCCATGGTGTGGATGGCGCCAGTATAAGCCTTGGATTTCTGAAAGGCAATGGAACCAGACTCCTTGATCTTGGCAACATCGGCCTCATAAATAGGGACATGATTGTCCACGCCCGTCTGGCGGAGTTCCACCTTGGCCTGCTCCACGGCCCACATCCGGCTGCGAAGATCCACGAGCTCGGCCTCCTGCTTCTTGAGGAGCTCCTTCTGAGAGGCATTCTCCTGGACGAGCTTATCGTAGGCATCGGCTTTCTCTTGAAGAGTGCCGGCCCTGCCTTTTGCATTCCTCAGAAGGGCGTCGCTTTCGGCCCGGACCCGGGCCATTTCCCTGCCTTGGTGCTCGAAGGCCATCCGGGCCCTGTGGAAGTAGAGCCCGGCTTTATCCAAAGTGCTCTGACCACACTCCAGAAGGTCTTCGGGTGCCTCCTGAGCAGCGAAGTCCTGGGGGACCTTGAGATTCAGGCCGCACCATATGGAGGATGCTGTTTGACCAAAGAGCATCATTGACTCCTTGCGTGGACCAACCCCGGAGAACTCAATCAAACCAAGGGAGGACCCATTGGCTTTTGGGGGCGAAGGAGGACGAGCATCGTCAGAACCCTTAGCGACCTGGGCATCATCGTCCCGGAGACGACGAACATCAGAAGTTCGTGGGGGAGAAGGACGGGACTTGCCCCGAGAGGCAGGCTTCCGCTTAAGGGGGCTCCCGGGCTCACCATCAGAGTCGTCGGCTACTATGATGGCCTTGGAGGCTGTACCCTCGACGCGCGGCCTCTTGGAGACGCCAGCGCCCAAATCATCCTCAGTCCGAGCCCTGGTCACCCGAGTTTCAACCTTGGGGACGAGCGGCTCCCCGGGCTTGTCATGACCCTTGTGCCCACGACCGACGGCAGACGGAGCGGTATTATCTCGGCGCATGATGGACGTGGGTGGAAAAACTCCTGCATAGAGGGAATCAAGACGTTCAGAACCATAACAGCGAAGAGAGGTTAAAGCAATACAAGTACAAACGGACGCACCTAATCCAGCCTGAGCTTTGAAGGGCTCGGCCACCAGCAACCGGAGGTTCTGGATGCCAAGTCCGGCTATGCGCTTGGCATATCCAAGCTCCTCGTCCGTCATGGGCGGCGGGATCGTCTTCACAGGGTAGGCATTCCACCGATCAGAGAATGGCATCGGTGAGCCTACTCCGGCCAGGAAGAAGCGCTCTTCCCAACCGTCTGGGTTCCCAGCGTTGTTCGAGAACAGAACCATGGACGGACGGGCAGTCAGGGTCAAATACCCTGTACGTCCGAAGGTGGACAGACGAAAGAAGTGGTGCAGCAGGTCCACGGTGGGGGTCACACCGACGCTGTGGCATCTAATGATGAAGCCAACGATTATCCGATAAGCGGCGGGGACGAGCTGCGCAGGAACAATCTCAAGGGCCCTGAAAAGTTCCAAGTGGAAGCTGTGCAGGGGGAAGTTCAGCCCGGCTATCACCGAATCTAGGTGGACCACCACATAGCCGGGCAGGTGGCGCATGGGGTTTCGTAGACGCCGATCGTCGTAGGTCCTTGGGGGATAAAACCATTGACTGATCAGTCGCTTGTCAGCGTTCGTCAGGCGTTGAACTTGACGCCGGACGCATGAGAAGTTAAGGCTATAACGGGGAGGCCGGGGTGGCATTCCCCGCTCATAATACTCCAGGTCATCACCGGAAGAACACCCATCATCAAAGCGACTTTCGGAAGACATGACAACGAACGGTACCTTGGGGTTCGAGATTTCCGATACGATCAAAGAGAAGTCTAGAGAGAGAAGGCAATTGTGCAGCGTAAGGAGAAATGTGAGTGGATCACTTGGATCCTGAGTATTTATAGGCAACACCGCGGAATTGCCCCAACCGAAGCAGGACACGTGGCGCCTGGGTACCGGTACCTACCACGGTATTTAAGGCGTCTCGATTTTGTCGCCGCATAACCAACACAAGGACATCCGGGTCCGTACCACGAACGTCCCTTGAGGAGGGCTCACCGGCTCGGAGGAATTTGAAGACATTCGCCTTCCCTTGCTTCCTTAACTCCCCGGCTGACCCTAGCGTCGGCGGCTGATGAGGGTACACGCACCAACTGGCGACGTCCCTCTTGCAGTACACCAGTTTTTCATGTCACGCAAATGTGGACGAACGTCGTCACCAAGCGCTGTTCCAGGGAAATACGCCCATATGTCCATACTCAAAACGCGCACTGACAAGGCAATTACCGACGAACGTCTTCCCACTGTCAAGATACCGCGTGGGCGGTAAAGATGCGTCGAGACGCCGGAAGGATTCCTTATACTACAGACGATGGGCACAAAAAGGGTGAAGTGAAAATCACGTCCATTAAGGGTGCACGGAGGACGAACGTCGCCTTTCCACACTTCGTGCCAGATGAAAACGCAGGACAGGCGGACACCCTTGCGCGGGGCTTTAGCGTTCATGCCGCGCGACGATAGAAGAACGTCGTTAGCAAGCATTGAGGCAATCTCCGATGTGCGTATGACCACACTTGCAAAGCGTGCTGTTTGGTCAACCCCCGACGAGCGTCGTCTTGCCATCGGAATGAGGTTGCAGGAGGGGCAGCCAGTATCGGCGCCGGGTGTCGCCGTCCGGAGACGGACCTTAACGCTGGCGCCACGCACTAAATGTGTACAGGGTTTTGGCAGAGGGACGCCCCTGCCCCCAAGCCAAGTGGGGAACAGAGATGAACGTCCACGCAGACTAGGCGACAGAGAATGTCCCCAGAGCAAAGAGGGAGTTTCCATACAACGAAGGACAAAAGGAAGAAAGGTAACAAGCAGAGATCATGAACATGGAACAATTATGGGCAAAAGGGTGTATATTCCTCGGCTCTAACGGCCGAATATTACAGAAGTTAGAATGGAAAAATACAGTTTACATTACACAAAGAAAGGGGATTCAGGCCGGCTGCCTCCCGGAGTCTGCTCTTCCTCCTCGGCCTCGGGCTCAGGGGTGGGGGGTTCCGGAACCTCCCCTCTGGCCTTTGCTTCCGCCCGCCGTTGGTCCCTCGCTAGCTTCCCTAAAGCCTGGAGCAGCAGATCGTCGTCTGTATGCGCTGCCAGCTCGAAGTCGGCCCCTTGCAGCCTCGAAAAGATGGGGAGGGTGGCCTTAACCCCTTCGTTATACCCGGCTGAGAAGGTGCTGTCGCCGACCTCGTACAGGAACTTGCGGGACAGATGAGAACCCTCAAGTAGCCGGACGCCGCGGGCCAGACGCTGGCGGGGCGGTATCTTCTCCAGAGCCGCGGCAAACAAGTCGGCGAAGACTCCGGCACAATAGTCTTTGGCAGAGTCCATGAACTCCCCAGTGTTCCTGTAGCCGGAGGTGTCGACCAACCACTCCGGAGTGGTGTCCTTGGCGGCAGGGAGCACCGGAACAAGCTTGAAACCGGCTCTTTCAAGGCCGGCCAACTGGCTGCGGGATTCAGCCTGCAGGGCTGCAATCTCCCCCCCCCTTGGCTGCAGCCTCCGCCTCAGCTCGACGGGCGGCCTCCCGAGCCGCAGCAATGGCCGCATCGGCTTTAGCCTTGGCCTCCATCAGATCGGCCTCCCGGGCAGCTTCAGCTTGAAGGACAAGGAGCCCAGACTGGATGACAGAAGAAAAAAAAAAAAAAAAAAATAATAAGGATCAAAGGATGAACGTCAAGGAAAAAATATATATGCTCAGATCTAGCAAGGAGGAATTACCTGAAGAGCGGCTGCCAGCGCAGCGCTTGTCGCCTCGGACGACGAACGGCGGGGCAGCTCGAGACCGGCCTTGAGGGCCATCTCCCTCCAAAGTTCTTCCGCCGGGCGGCTCAAAGGCAGGGACCCGGCATCTTCAAGCAGGGGGCCAGTGGAGCCTGCCTCGCGGCCCCGCTTCTGTTTCTTCTCAGGGACCTTCTCTGTCCCCTTCTGAGGAGCCGTCTTCGTGGGGACGACCGGCGGCGGAAGGGCGGCTTCGAGAGCAGGGGCCCCGGAACCCTGGGCCAGCATGGTGGCGATTAAATGTTGCTCACCCTCGGCGGTTCGCCTGGCAGCATCAGAGGCCGAGGAGTTGGACTCCGAGGCGGGGGCGTTTTTGGCTTTCGCCATCGCAGCTTTAGCCGCGGCCGCCTTGGCTTTCCTGGTCTTCAGACACTCGGCGTGATTCATTTGGTCTCTATCGGGCGGTGAACCTGCAAGAAACAACAAGGATTAGAAGCCGAGCGGGAAGTAGAATAAGACACTCACCTCGAAGGACAGGACCGCCCGGGCCCCGAGACGAGCGTCGAAGGGTAGAAAAAGTCCAGGAACACGGGCGGTACCTATGCCTGCCCCAGAGAGTGCCTCGAAGGTCAGAAATCCGGCTATGGGACGGACGCCACCCTCCAACACCTTCTCCGCATCCAAAAGCAGATCGTCGGTCGGCTCTGGTGACTCAATCTTTGGGGGATACCCATTCCACCGGAGAGGGAGAGGAGGCCCGTCGTATCGAAGGAAGAAGAAGCGGTTCTTCCAGTCGTGGATGGACGAGGGGTAGTTCTTGAACAGCCGCCTCCCAGGACGTGCGGCCACGCTCAGATACCCGTCGGCATTCTGAGGAGTGACGCGGTAGAAATAATGGAAGAGCTCCAAAGTGGCATCGACCCCCGCAAGTTTGCAGCGCACCAAGAAGGCCGATATGAATCTGTAAGAATTTGGCATGAATTGCGCCGGAGCCACCTGGAAGCAGTGGAAGAACTCCACATAAAACGCATGAAGTGGAAACCGCAGCCCGGCTTCAACGGAATCCAGGTGGAGCATGATCATCCCCGGACGTCTCCTCATCACATGCTCAGCGCCTCTCACACTCCAGACGAACGGCGGAGGAAGGAAGGTGCGGATTTTATTGAGGGCCACACGGGAGAGGACTTGGTCGTGGTCAAGGGCGCTCCTAATCGGGCAGATATGACGCTCCATATCCGTGGGGATGCCCAGATCATACACCTCCATATCAGAACCGGATTCGGCTTCCTCTCCAGAATCATAATCAGCAGGACGCTCATTCAGGGGGACCGCATCAATAACGTCCACTGCCTCATCGGCATCCCCACCCCTGGCGTCGCTCCCACTATCTTGAGACACATCATCCGGCTCGCCATCAGCCCGGATGGTCCCCACCGTCGTGGCCGAACCAGAGGTTCCGGAAACACTAGTTTTTCCCAGGGAGCGTGCATTAGCATTTTCAGAAGAGGAGCCCGAGGAGGAACCCGACGAACCGGAATCAGAACTTGAGGAAATCTCCATCGAAGTCATTCCGGCTAGAAATCAGAGTAAAGGAAAGAAGCAGAGGGGGGAAATTACCTTACAAAGGTATGGTTGGCCGAATTCAGGAAACTTGAAGAGCTGCGGAAAATCGAGAGCAAGAGAGCAGAAATTGGGAACCCTAATTCAGAGGGCAAACCCAGCATTTATAGGGGAAACACCGATGGAGAAACCAACGAGGGGCTGACACGTGGCAAGGAGCGTATTCCGGCCCACGCGCTGTGCGTGGGATGGGAACGTAATGATGACACTTCCTCGGGAAAATGCGCCGCCGCAACATCAGCCGTCACCTCGTTTCCTGAACCGTCAACAGCTGTCAAGCACCATGGCCACGAGCGTACGTTTCCACCAAGATGCAATGAACACAAGTACCAAGATACGGACGTCTACTTCGGGGAGGTTCATACTTCCTTATGTCCTGCGCATGCTCAGAACATCAGAAGTGGGGGACTTGTGTTGGGTTAAGGGCCCAAGCCGAGGTCCGGCCCACTAACCCATTTTGCCAGACGAGCGTCCAGCTAGAAACTAGGCCAGCCCACAGGCCCATGTTCTTTAAGGATGGACGAACGTCTGGTGTTGGAGGACTCAGGCCCAGCAGCTCATTCCGACGAACGTCTATGCAGGGACAAGGAGCAGAGCCACGGGCCACCAGGGATGGCGACGAACGTCCCCAGAGCAAGCCTGTAGTCATCGGAGAAAACCCAGTGCACATGGTGAGTATCTATCAAGGCCAGGAGACGAACAGCCAATATCCCTCAAGGGTCACTTGGAGCAATCCAACTCACTTCCCGGGTGGACGAACGTCCCCACTGATCCGGCGGGAAACCTAGATTCTGGCGGGAAGTGCATTTAATGCTAAAGATTTGGTAGTTGGGACACCAGCGGTCCACAGGCTGCCACGTCAGTACAGCCACCTGCCCATTGGCGGGTATAAATAGAAGCATTTATTTGATTGTAAAGGGTTGGCAACTTACTATTCTTAGCATATTAGCTCCAGCATTCTTACTTGAGCATTTCTAACTGCCTTGTAAGACGAACGGCCGACGTGCCCCTTTAGCAAGTAGGTTGTATTTAGGGGAGTTATTACGAAGTTAATAATACCTATTTACATTGCCTGCTATTACTTTTGTCTCCTGATCCATCTGATAGTTGTTGGGCTAGACATTCATACACTCACTCCACTCGAAACCTTTGGGCTTACGTGTTGGGTCCACGGGTTGAAGGAATAAACCTCAACACATCCAATATGAGACAAATGTACTATTACTTCCTTCCTTAATTAAGTTTTTATTTGAAAAAATAAACAATTATTTACAAAATATTTAGACAAGGTTATTTGATTATATTTTGAAATCTATTTTTGATGGATATATAATATAATGATGTCATTGATGATAACTAATATATTATTTTTAATATTCAATATTTAAGATCGTTAATTATTTCTTAAATCAGAAATGAAAATCTTTTGGTGAGACATTTTAAAGAAGCAAATGCAAATTTAAACCGAGACAAAGGAGTACTAGTTTGAAGTTTGAACACTCTTGTGAATGTGTAAAGTATTTTAACATACACTGTGCATAACTTTTTGAAAAATACATATTCATGGCAAATAATCTAAAAGACTGTTTTGGGCTTAGTTTTCGCACCTGGGCTTTTCTGAATTCAATAGCTTAAGCCCGATTTCATTTATCCTTTATTTCTTCTCCAAGCTTGAAATGTTCTCGAAAGTAGTCCTGCTCAGGTTTTTAGTTTGAATGGTTAATGGCGGATCAGTGGAGCACTTCCTGAGGATCGATCAAGTATACCAGTCACGATGCACCTTCTGGTATTATAATTATCTTTGCTCTTCTCTTTAAAATTAGCATATTTTTCGGGGGAAAAATTAAAACAGCAATTTAGCAATTGTAAAACATTAAAATTAAGTTTCCACTGCGTTTACCTTTTACAGAGAAAGTTTACGGTTTGCGATAAGAAGTCAATTCTGAGAGTTGCAGCTGGGTCTATAGCAGGGTCGGCTCTGGTGTTCTTTGCCTGCAGTGATAACGATTCAAGTAAGAATTCTATTTTCTGTCCGAACGAAAATGATTTAAGAGTTTCTGTTGTTTTTTTTACACATGTTTTCTGCTTTTGAAGGGTTTGGAATCGAAACGCTAAAAATGCTAGGAAAGGGAAACAGAGAGGAAAATATAGTAGAAAAGGGAAGGAAAATGTTGAGAAAATTAAAGAATGCTCTAAACTTAATAAATTTATTTTAATATCATTTTGAATTCTTTTCTAACTAATTAGTTTAAATGTATAAATATTGAAATTAATGACATTTCATTATCCAGGTAAATCCCAAGATAAGAAAATAACTTAGAGAAATCAGTATGACATTATCGATATATTTTGCTATGATCTTTATTGGATATAGTGTTGACTAACCTAAATCTACTTCTTTCAGAAGCCCCCCTTTTCTCGGTTTCAATTCCTAAGCCACTAGAAGACTCAATCAGATGTAAATGGAATAATTTGCAAGACAAAGACTTCTCCTTCTACCCCTCATTTCTGACCCTGGGAGCTTCACAGACTAGTAATGTTGCATCTGTAAATATTACTCCATATTTAGACTGGTTTCCTCATGCATTTATTCATGACAACATGGTTGACTCCATTAATGCAGGTAGGTTTCCTTTTGTTGTTTCTAGAACCCGTTCAGATGACGCAACATCATCTGATGTAAACAAAGACACTTCCTCAGTGGTTGTTGGTGGTGGTGGTGGTACCGTGCACTCATGTAGGAATTGTCTTACCCGAGATACCATTGCCAATGCAGCCGCAAGTGTTGGTCCTGCTGTAGTCAATTTGTCTGTTCCAAAAGGTATCTTTTTCAGGATTTTAATTACTGATACATTGATAAATACCTAAAGTGGCATTCTTGTTTTGTTTATATGATTGATATAATTATTTATTTTGGCAGGTTTTCATGGATTGGCGGTTGGAAAGAGTATAGGATCTGGCACAATCATAGACAAAGATGGAACAATTCTAACTTGTGCACACGTGGTGCTTAGTTCTCAAGGGTTAAGCCCTTTATCGAGCGGGAAGGTAACATGTAATATATTTTGTTGACTGAAATATTGCAACATCAGCTACACGATTGGTGTGTACTGGTTTCAAACAAAAATTACTTTGCATATATTTATGATTTTATTTTATTTTATTAGAAAAAAGGAACAAAATTTCCATCATTTCCAATGGAACTAAAAACTCACTATTTTTGGCTTGGAAATATGACGGTGTAAAGAAAAATGGCTCATTGTCTGCTGCTTCTTTGTTATGAAGAAGCTGCAATTTTCGATGTGTTTTCATCTGGGGTCATTTGGAAATAGTCTCTCCGTGCTTTAGTGCATGGGTAAGTCTGCGTACATTCGACCCCCTTACCCCACCGTAGATTGGAGCCTTTGCGGCAATGTCGTTGTTGTAGAAAATAAGGAACAAACAAAACGAGGGGGGATTAGACCAAGACATCTCCGGAGGAATAGCTCCGAGAATACAAATGGCTAAAGTCTGAAACTCAATAAAGTAAAGAGAAAAATGTCAATTCAGAACACCAAATTGTAGCATGGAGAGTAAAGAGTACCTCATTTTGCATTTGATACTAGGAAGGACACATACTTGGTAATTTGGTGTTGATCGAGGGTGCCTATGCATTTGACGTTAGAACTTGCTGATGTGGCAAACTAAAGCCTTTATTTTTGAAACGTTGGACTCTAGCTCATCAATTGCTCAACCCTTTAATATCTAGCCCTAATTTTATCAATTGATGTCTGCGTCTCAGAATCCAAACCTTCATCTGGTTCTTCGCTTCTTCTTTATCTTCTCTTCCTTGGTTATGATTTTTCTTTTTTTGGTGACTAATCCTAGACTTTTGCTGAGTCTTTGTCTTATGGACTGATTTTACAGTCCACGTCCTCCGTTAATTTGTGGATATTTTTGCTTTCGGAATATAGCTTTGAGAGCAACAGAAGAATACTTATTTTTACTTTCCTCGGTTATGGACTGATTTTTACTTCCTCCGCTAGTCGTTGATTTTTCTTTTTTTGGTGACTGATTTTATGTTATGTAATCATTTTTGTTGCATATAGAATACAAATATACAACAGAAAAATACTATCTTGAGTTTTGGGCATATCATAATTGCAAAGCCTTTCTCAGTTTAATCTCCCTGTTACGCTTAGTGCACGGTGCACCCATGCTTGGAAGAGCTAGTGGACAAAGAGCTTTACCTGCATTAGGCCCTGCTTGCTCATTAATGAATAAAGCTCATATTTAAGAGTGGAAATAGTGGACTGACTAATGATGGATTAGGATTTAATGTGGCACTGTAATTTGGCCATGACTCAATTACAGGAATAATGGCTGGGGGAGCAGATATATATGACCCAACTAGAAGTAGTTTAGCAGCCACAGTATCTGAAGGTGTTTGGGGTCGAATGAAGAGTTCAAAAGGAAAATTGGAAATCAAAGAAAAAATTGGACCAAGCACTTAACAGATGATGTGGACTAAATTTGGACATATCACTATTCCGTTTGCCATGTCAGCTATGTTAACTTCTTAATATGGCTAATGTACTCATTTAACACCAAAATACCAAGTATGTGTACTTCGTGGTATCAAATGTAAAATGAGGTACTCTTTACTCCCCATGCTACAACTTAGCGTACTGAATTGACACTTTTCTCATAAAGTAAACAACTTGGATAAAACAAAATGCAAATTTCCCTATTGCTTAATCACACAAGCCTAGTTTCCTATGCGATAAGGATTAGCTACACTCCTAAATGACACACGTTAGTTGGGTGGTAAGAAGATGTCTTATGTTTCACCATCTAATCAACTTATGCCAAGTAGGAATGTACACAATAAATGTACAAAAATATACATCTAGAATTATTACTCCTAACAACTACGGAGCAGTAAACTACCATAAACCAGACTATCAAAACAGTCTTTATTCTGACTGGTCAACCAGCAACAGTCCCTAAAAATTTCAACATCGATAGCATTCTGAATTCAACATTTTGGTCTTTCTCACAGCCTCCTGGGATTTGGATATCCTTGGATCCCATCTTGTAATCACCTTAGGGTTTGCTCCTTTCCTCTCCATTAGCCTTGATCATCTCTCATTTTCAGCTAAGGTTTTTTTGGACATTTTAATTTTACAATCTCTGAGCTCTTTTACTTTTTGATTAGGTTATTTCTTTCTATCCTTCATCATCAGAGCTTTCACCAGACGAATATCCAAAATGACCACTCTTAAAAGTTTTAGGACTACCATCATTTGCAGGCAAATTATTAAAACCATCCAATTCCAGAGGGGATTCATATGCTTTTTTACAATCATCTGCATCAATTGTTAGCTTATCAATAATAGAATCCTTGCCATTTTCTATTTTGTCTCCATTTTCTGCATGGTTTCCTGCAATTTTCACACTAAAAGCTCTGATAGACAGAACCCCTGCTCCATTTTGTCCATTCAGTTTCTATTTTTTTCCTGCAGAAAATGGGCCTTCAGCAAATTTATCATTTTCTCCCTGTACCTCTTTGGTCCAACCTGTTTCTGCTTTTGCTGTAGAATACACGGCTTCTAGTTTTTCTGCAGAGCCTGGAAATGGTTCTTCCAGAATTTGCAGACTCAATTCCTGTAAAGACTGAAACTTATTTGCGAACTCAATTCCCCACACGGGTATCTTTCTTTACTACCTTCCAACTTGACTAGTCTTCTTAGCTATTTAAACTTCAGCTTAGAGCCACTCTTATCATATTCATTTCCAGATTATCCCAAAAATCAGAGCTTGATCTATATTTTTCTAATTTCCAAATCATTTTCTATTAACCGTTTCCTTCTGGTCACTTGTATAGATTTAGCAGATACCATCTTCACTCTTTCTCACACCCATCATTATGTGCTATTTGTTTGCAAGTTAAATTTAGATACTCCAACAGGTATGCTCTATTTTTATGCTTCAAAAAGTGAATGCTGCTCTCCCTGCTGGTAAATGCTTCTATATTTCGCGAATGTGGTCATTTGTCCCGTGTGATTTAAACCGGTGGTTTACTTTTCCTTAATTTTTCTGGTTAGTTTCATCCAAAGATTTGCAAATCCATTCTAATTGGTCTTTATATCAAAGCTATAACTGTGGTAGACTGCAGGTTGAGGTGGCCCTACAAGATGGCCGAACATTTGTGGGAACAGTGGAAAATGCCGATTTACATTCTGATATTGCAATTGTGAAGATAAAATCCAAAACTCCACTTCCATGTGCAAAGCTTGGTAGTTCAACTAAGCTTCGCCCGGGAGATTGGGTGATAGCCGTGGGTTGTCCCCTTTCTCTACAAAATACTATCACAGCAGGCATTGTAAGGTACTTTTGGTGGAATGCTAAAGAAATTTCGTGATTTCGTCATGATTTATTCTCTTAATTATCATTATGGTGATAAGACCATTTGTACATTAAATAATGAGTGTATTGGCATGATATACTTTAACATCTCGGGACTCTCTTCCTTTCTCTCATTTTCAAATTTCCAATGCAGTTGTGTAGATCGTAAAAGTAGTGATTTGGGGTTAGGCGGTATGAGGAGAGAGTATTTACAAACAGACTGTGCTATAAATGCGGTAACAATAGTTATAACCATCATTCATGGGCAATGCAGGGTAGATATCATCACATGGACTTGAATCGTCTAATCTATTACGTGCAGGGCAATTCTGGAGGACCTCTTGTGAATATTGATGGAGAAGTTGTCGGTGTTAATCATATGAAAGTATTGGACGCTGATGGGTTGGGATTTTCTGTGCCAATTGAATCAATTGATTCAGTTATCAAAATTATAGATCACTTCAGAAAAAATGGGTACAAAACATGTCACTATGCCATGGCCTCAGCTGCTTCCTTGCTGAATCACTATAATTTTAGAATCATTGTTTTTATTTGTTGAGAACAAGTGGTTTGTAGGCACAAAATAAAGGAATTGTCACGCAAATTACATATGAATGTGTTTTTTTGCTGAAATTAATTCAAGTTCCATCTCTTTGACACATACAAAATATACTACGTATTTTATTACCTGCCAAAAATCACGTGTCATTTTTTTTTTTGCGACATTATCATTCATTTAGTATACCTATGGTGCATTTTTGGGAAACTAACAACACAACGGATGGTTGATATTTCAGGAGAGTTGTTAGACCTTGGTTGGGATTAAAAATGATGGATCTCAATGAAATGGTTGTTGCACAGCTGAAGGAAAAAAATTCTAAATTCCCTAATGTAAACCAAGGCGTCCTTGTACCCATGGTATTATTGGTTCTTGCTTGACATGGTCTTTGCTTTTTACTCAGTTGCTTTTTAAGCCCAAACCAACATTATGCATTTCGTGCATTTCGATCTACAGGTGACTCCAGGTTCCCCAGCTGATGTTGCAGGATTTCATCCAAATGACATTGTCATAGAATTTGATGGAAAGCCTGTCAGGACCATTAAGGAGGTAATTATGTATACAAATATCCATCTGTTTAGTTGTGTCTTCTAACTCACCCTCTACCCCCATGGCCCATGGGGGTTTTTGGAATTCTTTCTTATTCCTTCAAATAAAATTTGTTGCAGATTGTTGAGATAATGGGAGATAGGGTTGGACAACCATTGAGAGCAGTTGTGAAAAGAAGTAATGATGTTTCTGTGACACTGACAGTTATTCCAGCGGAAGCAAATCCAAACATGTGATGTTTTCCCTTTTATCAACTTGTCATGGACTCTGAGCTCAGCGCCTCAGCCCATCTTTTGGGGGAGAATTTATTATAGATTATTACTCAATAAATTATATGAAGTACTTATTTTTTGGTCAAATTTAACTTTTTTAAATTCACTTCTACGTATCATATAGTACCTCCGTCCAGGTGTACTTTGCCAAATTCGAAGTAGGTGATAAATACTCCCTCCGTTCCCAAAAATACTTCCCACTTTCCTTTTTGGGCCGTTCCTAAAAATTCTTCCCACTTTCCCTTTTTGAACAATTTGTGTGGCTCACATTCATTTTACCTTTTTCTCACACAATCACAATCACACATTTTCACTTTATTCCACTTTCTTAATAGGCGTGCCAAGTCAAACCGAGAATAATTTTTAGGAACGGAGGGAGTAAGAAAAGTAAAAACTGCGTGATTGAGGTTTGTGCAAAATCACGAATCATTTTTCATTTTCCTTTGCATCTTCGGGGCATAAGAAAACAATTTCTCATTTTCTTCCCTTTTCTAGCATTTTCATTTTTTACTCAAACTAGGCCAATATTTGCTCCAATCGCAAACTCTTCCATTCAAACTCCTCAAATTCAGAAATTTCAAAAATTCTAGACCCTTATGATTGACTCCAAGGTTGATCTCCTTATCCAAAAACCTTGTACAGTTTTACCTGGCTCATTTTTCAAAAGTTTCTTGAACAAATGGATGGTACAATAGTACAGAGGACTTCCAAAATTTTACCAGTAGATACTTGGTAGAAATAGGAGCGGGATCTCTCAAGCTAGTAACTAGTTGTATACTACTTGTTTGTCAATGAGAAACTTGTCAAGTGTTAAATGAAACCAAATACCTATACCGCAATAGTTACTGCAGCATCTTTGAAGTTAATAAACAAATTAAGCTGACTGATGACTAGTGAAAATCTACCATCATCCACCAGAAGGCCATTGGCGCTTTTGGTACCAAGAAAATGTCGATCTAGGAGTCTAGGACATTTAATGGGTAAAATAATTTTGATGGTTATAGACTTATAGTATATCAAGGCAAAGATGTAACCTACAACTTAACACAACGATAACTATATTGATAAAAACAAGAAACAAGAAAGCTTTGGTGATAAAAGACACAACGATATGACATCTAGTCATCTACCCTCAGTGCTCTCACAACTATATCTTTCTAATGTCGGGAAATTTAGTAGAACCCTATATAATCCACTATGAAGTCATATAAGCACATGTGACATCGTCACAATCATTCATTTGTGAAGTGACCCCCTACTATAAATCCACTATAAAAATGAATGGTTGTTATGAGGCCGCATGGAATATATGACTATAATGGAGTCATATAGGATTCTATAAAATTATTGTTATAATGTCAGAAACAAAGATTCCCACATTGGAATTAGGATGCAAGCAACAATATGAGAATGAATCTTCAAGAAACGACGTCACAAGTTAACGACTTTCTATTGATGCGGAAGAACCCTTTGCTGCTCAATGACAACAATTCACACGTACATATTTTAGACTTATCCAAATTCGAAAAAGTTGAGGTCAAATCCCAAATTTTCAATTAAGAAAATGAATCTTACATATACGGATATACCCATCTCGCATTGGCCAAGTGAAGATATAAGTTCATGCTGACCATGCTGACCTTTGAAGGATGAAAAATTCACACGATCCTCCCTATTTCGTGACTGTCCTCTTCTCAATCACTTACATCTATCACAAAACTCTTAAAAACCCGGTAGATTACTCGTCACAAAGTTATTTCTTAAATAATTAGTTGTCCTTGGTTGTATTCAAGTGACTCATTTGAGTGTAACAAGCTCTAATATGCATATATGAGATTTTAATCTTTTCATATAAAAATTGCAACACAATCAAGATAAAATTTACAAAAGACATTATGTGAATAAAATACATCGATTACAAAAACACATTTATTGTAACAATCAATTGACCTTAATATACAAGGATAATTTGATTCATGGACAACAAAGGCAATAACCTCAATGGACTCCAAGCATATAGTAATTTTAATAATTACACCAATACATTTAAAAATCATATAAAAAGTCTAATTGAAGAGCTAAATATTTATATACGGAGTATATATAGCGATTAAAAGAATGTAGTATACTCCAAAATACATATAATATCCAAAATATTATTTTTTCTTGTTCAAATTAAAAAAAATAAGATGGACAATTTAGTTAACTAGATAAAATGTTACGAAAGTGACACTTTTATAATAATTCTGTTATTCGATCAGATAAAATTTTGACTTAGAAAATAAAAAATAACATTTTTTTATCCAAAAAAGTATTCGTTAAAGGATAAAATATCCTTATTTTGGAAATTATATTATACCCCGTATAAAATAGATGTGAAGTTTGGGAATATATTAAAGATAATAATATTTTATGATATGTGAAAAGGTGAATTATTTTGTAATTATGAGTTAGAGTTTTAGGAATTAAAAATCGCTTTTTTTAGCAAAAAATTATCATAGTTTATTCAAATAGAAGAATGAGATTACAAGTGGGGGGAGACTTGTTTATTGTCCAAATTGGACTTTACACTTCATTTTTAAAAATCTTTATGTTTGTACCCTAGCTCCGTATGAAAAGACAGAATGCATCTCCATTAACAATATGTTGGACTTAAATATATTTCTGATTGAGGGGCACATTTGTCTTTTCACAGGGATTGGGGGTATGAATACAAAGTTTTATAAAAAATGAGATGCAAAGTCTAATATGGACAATAAAATGAGGGCCCAAACTCCAATTACCCCTATTTTGAGTCTGCTGACTATCTTCTCCTCTTAGTCAGATCTGTGTTATATCTGTAACAGTGCATGAATTGTGTATGGGAGGTTTTCGGAGCATGTAAAAGTCTGAAATCAATCGCCCAACTGCACTGTCAATTGATCAAAGCTGGGTTGATTCAAGACGCTGGTTTTGCCTCAAGTCTAACTGATGCTTACATTTCGCTTGAACTTTCCGATAATGCACTTAAACTGATCGACGAAATTCCTCATAGGAGTGCGTACGCATGGAATTGCATTCTTCAGCGTTGTTGCAGAGAAAAACGATATGCGGACGCGTTGTCCATCTTTTCCCGTTTGTTTTCCTGCCAAAATACCGATTCTTTAACCCTGTGTAGCGGATTGAAAGCGTGTTCTGAACTAAATGCGATTGGTTCCGGCCAAACGATTCATTCGTTTATAACAAAACTTGGTTTGCTTAATTCAAACTTGTTTATTGGGACCAGGCTTGTTGAATTGTACTCAAAATGTGGGATAATGGATGATGCCCTGCGAGTTTTCAAGGAATACCACAAACCAGATATTGTTTTGCGGACTTCACTCATCTCCGGTTATGAACAGAATGGCGAACCTAAGGGATCACTCACTGTTTTTGCTGAACTAATAAGGTGTAATTCTGTTGGCCCTGATGATGTAACGCTTATCAGTGCTGTTTCAGCTTGTACCCAGTTGTTTGATATGAATGCTGGAAGAAGCATACATGGCTTCACAATTAGGAGGAAGAGATGCTTTGATCTTTCCCTACCCTTGGTGAATTCTTTTTTGAACTTATATGCCAAGACAGGTGGTTTAATGGCTGCTGAAAATTTGTTTAGCATTACAGAACAGAAAGATGTGATATCATGGGGGACTATGCTCTCATGCTATGCTCATAACGGGGCTGCTAAACAGGCAGTGGATCTTTTCAATCTGATGATTCATAGGGGTTGCGTCGAGCCTAACTCGGTTAGTTTCATCACTACTTTGCAAGCATGTGAAGCTACAGGCAATATATTGGAGGGTAGAAAGATACATAAACTTGTAGTCCAGAAAGGGTTCGACTCATCAGATATCTTTCTATCCACAGCTTTAATTGACATGTACATGAACTGCGGCTGCCCAAGTGAAGCAATCACGGTTTTTGAGAGAATGTCTAAGAAAGATGCTGTTGCTTGGTCTTCTGTATTACACGGGTGTGTTCATAACAAAATGGCGCACGAGTCGATGACAATTTTTCATGATATGCTGACTCTTGGGGGTGGAATCAAGCCCGACTCGAGTGCCATGGTGAGTGTTCTGACAGCATGTTCAGAGCTTGGCAATCTCCAACAAGCCTGTTGTCTTCATGGTCATATAACCAAACATGGTTTCAAGAATGACAAATTTGTTGGGGCATCCCTTATAGAAAGCCATGCCAAATGTGGTGGCCTAGGTGATGCCATCGGCATTTTTGAGGAAATTAAAGAAGACAAAGACGTCGTCATTTGGAGCTCCATGCTTGCAGCATATGGAATGCACGGGAAAGCGAAGGAGTCAATCAGTTTATTTTCTCAAATGATGACCCAAAGCTCCACCGCAGTTAGGCCCAATGAGGTAACCTTTCTATCAATTTTAGCAGTCTGCAGTCATACCGGTCTAGTTAAAGAGGGGATTGAGTTCTTCAAAAGAATGGTTCATGACTACACACTAATGCCAGAGTCAAAGCATTATTCCGCATTGGTTGACCTTCTGGGACGCAACGGGGAATTGGATGAGTCCATCAGCAGCAGCATCATTGATGGAATGAAGAGTCAAGGTTTGCGAGGAGATGCCACATGGGGAGCTTTGCTTAGGGCCTCTAGGATGTACCAGAATGGAGAGATGGGACGGATTGCAGCGAAGAATCTTTTTCAGTTAGATCCTAATAACATGGGGTATCACCTTCTGTTATCAAACATATATGCAGTTGATGGAGATTGGGATGGTGCTAGTGAACTGAGAGCTTCAATTACAAAGAGAGGGTTGCATAAGATGGCTGGTGAAAGTGTTGTGTTCTTGAATTGAGAGGAGGTAGGGTGACAACCCCACTTTCTCAACTTGTCATGAAATTATTCAAGTTTATTATAATGAAATGAAATCATTCAATTTTATTGTAATTGAATAAATCAAATTAAACAAAAAAGAAAAGAAAAATACACACTCAAACCGAAAGATTTACATTTACATTATATTTAGAAGACAGAAAGAGTGAGTACGGTGAGAGAAGCTCGGGATAGGTTACTACTAATTAGTTTATCCTAATTATTTTGTGCGGTCACGGTTATTTTTTTGTAATAATCACTATGGGGTGTTTG